AGAAAAAACACTACCAGATCATTGGGTTTGGGTCTGAAAATATAGAGTAATAAACACTAATATTTTGAATCTTAATCTACAAGAATGAAAATAGGTTTTGAACCAGGAACACTGAATTCACTTGATCTACCTACGTGTCATATGGTTCTGCATCAGATTGAGAAATCTGTAATAATATAGAATTTATAATTCAGATTTCTGAACCAGGCATGAAATCCTCCAAATCTTAGTCTCATATTGAACTATGATGAAGTCTCAAGGACTAAGGTTTTCGTACCTTAAAGAACTTTAAAAAATAAAATAAAAATGTGTGAAACAATAGTGTTAAATTATTTAAAACTAGCACAGGACACTGGGTGTGGTGGCCACACCTCTCTGCTCTGGAGGCTGAGGTAGAAGGATTACAAATTCAAAGCCGACCTAGGCAACAGTGAGGTACTAAGCAACTCAATGAGACCCTGTCTCTAAATAAAATACAAAAAAAGGGGATGTGGCTCAGTGGTTGAGTGCCCCTGAGCTCAATTCCTGGTACCCCCATCTCCCCCCAGCTCCCACCAAAATAGCATAAGACATTGATCAATGAGAGAAGGGATGCAAATGAGGTGAGCCCTGTTTTTGGTCCAACTCTTTGCTAAGTGCTTTCTTCCAAGCTGCAGTGCAAAATTCCTTAAGTAGCTATTTCCTGTTTATGAATATTGAAGACCTGTAGCTTGAGGAGGGCAAGATGGCTAAAATTCAGAAGGCAGAGTACCAGAGAAGCAAGAGCCCAAGATAGAAAATGCTCTGGAGATATGCAGAAAATGCTGACCTGTGCATTTATGTGAGAAAGGTTCTGAGGTCAGGGAAAGAACCAATGGGAACAAGCAAGGAAAACAGTCTCTGGAGCTCACACAAAACTGGGAATAGTTCATCTTCCCACCATTCGAAGCAGAAAGACCTCTTAATACACAGGGCATTGAGTAGAGTCCTCAGAAAGGCATTTCCATAGTAGTCAAGCCCTGTACTAAATGCTGTTCTAGAACTACGTAACAAAGATTAAAAGTTATTCTTTAAGGGATCAACCTGTTTCTAAGTAACCTAGCTTTCCTAAACAATATTTAAGAATATTTAAAGAACGACAACAATAACAAAGGAAATCTATTACTATACAACCAAAAATTTACAATGTTTTGCATGTAATAAAAATTATTAGGCATGCAAAGAAATAGAAAAATTCATAATATAATGAGGGGAAAAATCAATCAATAGAAACAGACCCAGGAATGACATGGATCATAAATTAGTAGATAAGGATATTAAATGAGCTGTTATCAATGTACCTTATATGTTCAAGGAAGTAGAGGAAAGCGTGAACATGGTAAGGAGAGACCTGGATGATATTTACACACACACAAAAAAATCAAACTTAGACTAGATGTCAAAAATCAATGCTTCAGATGCAAAATATACCAGAGTGTTTTTAGTATAGTAAGCATGGCAGAAGAAAAGATTAGTGAATCTGAGGCATAGCAATAGCAGTTATCCAAAATCAAACACAGAAATAAAGGAAAGACTGCAAAAAATAATCAGAAAAAAGAAAAAACCCAAACAGTATCAGTGAGCCTGGGGCAACATTAAGTGACCCTATATTTAATTAAATATAATTAATTAATTAATTTATTTATTTTTATATTTTATTTTTTTGGTGGGATAGTACCCAGGGCCTCTTGCATTTTAGGCATATGCTCTCCCACTTAGTTATAGCCCCAGGCGCTAGCCTTATATTTTTAAAGACTTTTAATTTGTAATTAAAAATCTTCTTATAAAGGAAACTTCAGACCAGATTATGTTAATTGTAAATCTTCTCCAAAAATTTAAGGAAGAAGTAACACCAATTATGGACAATGTGCCGGTTGCTTAAGATGTTAACATTTACCAACCATATGACTATATGACCTAGCCATTCTACTTGAGAAAGGAAAACACGTTTCCAAATACTCTTGTATACAAACGTTCACAGCAGTTTTATTTATAAAGCATGACTCTTCAGTAGGTGAATAGTTAAGCAAATTGTGAACTATCCAGGTAACAGGATACTACTGTAAAAGAAATGAAGTCCTGACACCCTGAGCAATATAGAACGCTCTAAATCATGCTGCAAAGGAGCTAGGCATAAAGAGGAGACCGTGTCCAACTTCATTTACATAAAACTCTAGATAATACAGACAGATCTATAGTGACAGAAAGCACGCCAATGACTGGGGAGGGTGTAAGAGAGAGGGACAGATTGCAGCACACCACAAGGACACTTTTGTGGTGATGGAAATATCTGTTGTCTCGATTGCAGTGGTGGTTCCATAGGTATATATGTCTGTCAAAGCTCATCAAATTGTTTGACTGAAATATAGGTAGTATATTGTGTGCCCATTCCTCCACAAAGTTTAGGGCTCTGAGAGAGGGTGCGGGGGCAGGGGGAGGAGAAGGTTGAAGGGGGAGAGAGAAAGTGAAAGGCAGAGAGAGACAGAGAGAGAGAAAGAGCATGAGGCAACTCTATCTTTGACGTGCCTCTCTTTTGCCACTCAGCTGCTCAACTGATAGGTTTTCCTGTGGGTGCAGGGTCGAATTTAGATCCAGGCTAAGTTCTGTGGAATATTCTGCTTGTTTATTGTGGCTTCTGGGACACTGGCAACTAGAGGCAGCTCTGTGATGAGGCAGTGAACTGCCCGGGATTTGTACCTTGGGCATCTCCTGGAGGAGCCCTGTGATGGTGGCAGTCACAAAGCAGAGTCCCTGGCCTCATTGCTGCAGATTTCTCTGGGAAATGAGATTAACCCCTTGTTCTGCAATGTTCTGAAGTTCTTGAAAGAAAATGTACAATCTTGAGGTGCTTTAGCTTAGGTGAACATTTAGTGACTTCAAGTCACTTTTGATAAGACTTGGTTACTTACGATAAGGTCAGGCTTAACATGAGTGACCAGGAAGAGCTAGAAAGGAGGTCACAGGTGCAAGTTAATTCCACTTACCTTTTCCATTTAACAAATTCAAGTACTTCAGCATGAAATAGGTCTTACATTAAAAGAACTAAACAAAGAAATTTAAATAACTCTAAAGTCACCACAGGCTGATGTTTCTGGAATTGTGGAGTCACTAGGACAAAAACCAAGCCCATGGATCACCAGTGGCATCTCCCATTGGAACTCCCAGTCCAGGATCATCCAGCATGGTCCTCCCCAAAGAGCCACCTCTCATCAGAGACAAAACCTTTTCCCCTCCTTTCTTTGATTCTCTCTTGGTGTCCTCTACCTCCAGATCTAGTTTCTCTGATGTTGGCAGATCCAGGAGCTTCCTGCATGACACCAGGCCTTTCTCCTCTTACTCCTTAAGAAAGCCTGTGTGGACCACCAAGAGGAGTGTTTCCTGGTCTACTACATCCCTCCATCAAAATAAGAAATTCAGTCCACTAAGGGCTTCTCCTCGTCTTCCTCTTCATGGGTTGGGTTCCTGAACCATTGCTGAGGTCCAGAACACAGCAAGAAACTGAAGGTTCCTTTTTCTCTATTAATGTAGTTTTAAATTATCTGTCATCTAAGCAATTATATGTTTCTCAAATGGGAGCTATGTGGAATTATAATACAAAGTCAGTATTCTATAAACCAAGTTGATCAAAATATTTTAAAGATAGAAAAGCACTTAAAAGTGCAAGACTGAAAGAAAAAAAAATCACCTGAATCCTGAAATCCTGAGTGTTAATTTTTCCTTCCTTTCTTTTTTTTTTTCTTCTTCTCCTCTTCTTCCCCCATGGCTTTGGGAAAAAGAGTAATCTGGAGAAACAGAAATCAGGAACATAACATTATTGAGAGAGTTTGGGATCTAAGAAATATAAATTCTAATTTTTATTTTAACAAGATTTCTATAATATCTAGTTTTACAACTAGTATGTTAGTTGTCCTGGAGAGGGGGAAAATCTCTAAAATATCTCTATATGTACAATGGATTTTTTTTTTAATGAATTACAAGCTTTAACTTTTGGTTAAAGTCAAATGGCAAACTTGAGCCCTTTATTTTCTCTCTTGCTCCTTCTGTAGCCTAATAATCTGGGGCCAGTCCTTTCTTCTTAAAACCTGCATACCTTCACTTAAATGACTGCATTTTGGTTGAACTTCATCTTTTCAATTATTTTTGGCTCTTCTTTTTCCACCATACCTTTACCTACCTTTCTACAGTCTCTCTTTGAGAACCTCATGATTTCCAGATCTCTGTCTCTAGCTTTAACTTTTATCCTAACTTTGTCATCTTCGTTTCTAAGGCCTTTCAACCTCTCTTACCCTATCCATGTCACCAGCACTCAAACTCAAGAGTACATTTCTAACTGTGTGCCTCCAGTTGAATTCCCTATTTGATTAATGCTCTGCTAACTCACAACCTTTCTGGGTAATCTCCATAGTGCTTTCTAGAGTGGTTGTACCAATTTGCAGCCTCACAAGAGTGTACCTTTTCTTTCACATCCTCACCAACATTTGTTGTTGCTTGTGTTCTTAATAATTGCCATTATGACTAGAATGAGAAGAAATCTCAGTGTAGTTTTAATTTGCATTTCTGAATTGCTAGAGATGTTGATAATTTTTTCAAATTTTGTTGACTGATTGTATGAAATGCCTATTTTAAATAAAGAAAAGTTAACTAGATTTTTTTTCTTGCTGGCCGCTAACAGAGCTCTTTGCATGCACATCTGTTATACATCTGTTATAGCACTCTTGCTGTCCTTGGTGTGGGATACATCTGACTCCACAGCTGGCTGTATATTCCTAGAGCGTAGAGCCTATCTCGTACACCTTTGCAACTCTGATAGTGCTTAGCTTACTGCCTTGCAAGAAAAGAAAGGTTAACTATGCTATGAAAAGTTAAGTACAGTCCAAAAGCAGAGAAACATCCACACTATTTATCTTCTGGTTATTTGTGTGAGTCTGTCTCAGGTATATGAAGGATTCATGAATAAAATCCCCTGTATACGAATTACTTACCTTATCAAATCTTCTTTGGGTGTGTGAACCCTGTCAATAAACACAACAATATTAATAATATGTTAATGAAAATGAGAATTGATGACTCATTTATAAAGCTCTTAGAGTGGACCATTTCTATTGTTTCTCATGAAGAAGAAAGTGTAGGCCTGGATTTCTAGATGGAGAGACCAAAGATGGCATAGTAAGTGATACAGATAACCACCAGAAATGGGCATCACACCAAGACAGGGCTCCTCAGCCCACTCCCTTTCACACTCTTGGTTTCATTGTACTGTATTTGAGATGGTAAGAAATTACTTCACAATCATTTGCTTTAAGGTCATTTGCTTTTAGTTCCTCTTAGGGGACGAGAGTTTAGTAAAGCATACTAGCCACTCTAGAAGGACGTCACGTTTTCCCATTTATGAATCTGGTGTGTTTTGCTACCCTGGTACCCTACTTCTAGATCTCATAGGCCCCTCATCCCTCGGCAGTGATGGATGTTATTTAACCAGCACACCAGGCCCTGCATGGAGAAAGTACTTTCTGAATCATAGCCTTCCAAGATTTGAGTTATTTTCTGAAAACAAGGTGCCTGTCTTAGCTTATTTCAGCTGACAAGGTACACAGAAAAACCCTTTCCTCATAGGGTCTGCTAAAACTCAGCTTTGGCTTAAATTTTCACCAGTTTGAGTTACTGAGGTTCATAATTAAAATGTGTGGAATATGTAGCATAAACGATGCATTGTGTTAGCTAAAGAAACCTGTTTACTTTCATTTAAAATGTAAACAAGGAGAATATGCTATGAAAATAAGCATAAGAAAAACTTGCAGAACAGACTCATTTTGGATGTTAATGACTAGAACTCCAGTAAATTACATGCTTATGGTATTGAAAAGCCCAAGGGTGGAGCAAACTTTCGTCACTGTGCAGATAAGAAAATAATGCCACCCTTTAGATGTCTGTCTTTCCCTGACTCTGAGCTCCTGGCCTGTCTGGATCTGGCTGTCAGCAGCACCAGACTTGTGTGCTTACCATTTACACATGAGCAGAGAAAGAGCATCTGTCTCATAATTGTTCTAGCAAAAGTCTTGGGAGTGTATTTTATTTGTCTACAATAGACAATAGGCCAACCAATCAGTCACTGTGGACAGCCCTGCTGGCTAGGCCTGGGTCACATGTCCCCTCTGGCCTGAGGTTGCAGTCAGCTCCCAAGTATCCTCATTGACTGTGAGAATGGATAGATAGGTGGTTCCCCAGGGGAAATTCAGGATGGTGAAATGGTAGAAAAGGTACCAGGATCCTAGGCAGGGGAAAAACAACAGACAAAGACTATAACTTCTTAACTACAGACTCTTATAATGTAAAATGTGGTAATTTAAGTGAAGGTCTAAATTTTAATGGTATTGATAGAGAAAACATTTATTTGAAAAATTAGGGTCATGAATGAAATTATAAACATACGTTTTAATCTATATAGCAGAAAAAACTTTTAAATAATACCAACAAGTTGCCTTCAATCGTTAAGGTATTTATCAGGTTACTCATGCTGGTATGTCCTTTTAAGTGTTTTCTATATGTCAGACACTGTGTTAAATGATACTGGTACAAACTTTGAAATGAGGTTACAGATCCCTAGCTCACATAATCTCCCACATGTCAAAACTAACTAAGCAAAAGCTCTACTTCATAATACGGATGACATTTTCAGTTATATCTGTAGTGCAATGTAATGCAACTTAATTTCTTTAAAAAGTATTTTGTAACTTAGCATTTTTAATTGATTCATCCTGGCTTTGCTCTTAGCTAAAACAAGTTAGTAATTTGACTAAATGGTACATTTCTGTAGTTTCTTGAGTCTGAAGCATTCAAGTCAACCATATAAAAGAGCAGAAATTCTCATGTTGCTTACACCTCTTTCATTATGATTAAATATGATGGACATGTGATCAGACCTTCCAGTGTGGCTGATATTTTTGATGACCAATTTCTAGTTGTGATGAGTCCTTTTATGTCTAAACCAGCTATGCCAAAACAAAGGCAGTCTTTCTTGTTTCAGTTATATTTAATATTCACATTATTTATTAAAGGAGGATTATATAATATTTAAATGAAGGCTCCAATCCATAAAATACCTGTCAGAGATGAACAACATGTACATGGATAAGCATAATGCATTCATTTATAGGCTATGGATCCACTCTCCCTCAAGGAATGTTATAAATCCACGTGGTGTCCCTGGGTGTCGGGGTTGGCCACAGCATCTGCATCTGCAGAAGCCAATGTGGCCCAGGAGCTCTCTGCTGGCTACACATCTGAACAGCTTCAAGAGCACAAGTTTCCCCATCAAAGGTTTGGAATAAATTACACTAAAAAATTGGCTCCAGAAAGAGTTATTTTGGAGAAGACAAGGTGAAGCTCTCATGAGGTGTGATAAATGAATCCCTCTGTGCAGTGGTGTCTGTGGGAGCGTTGGTAGGGGTGGGTCAAGGCTGTGGGGGAAGTGGGGAGAGACTAACCCCACACACACTTGGACAGAAATGCCGAATCTACCCACCAGACAAGGTGTTTGAAAATCCAGTTTTTTAATAAATGACTTTATAACTTAATACGAATGTATACCATATGAAGAGTTGTCTTTTTCCTGATACTTCATTTTCAAAACAATTACTTTTCCTGCCCACTAGTGAAATGCTGGAGCTTGCTCATGTCAGCTTGCAAGAGCTGATCATGAAGTTTTAAGAAATTTTGTGAGCCAGTAGTTAATCACAGCTGCTATTAAAAATTAAATTATATAAACTTACTCTTATATAAATTATATTATTATATATTATATATATATTAAAACAAAGGCAAGAAATATCCCAAACTCATCACTTCCTAGTTGTTCTACTACATTTAACTATGATCTATGTTCTCGAGGTTGTTTATATCTGTTGTACCTATGTGGTAGACCTCCTATATGATGGTGCTACTGTGTACCTCTTCACTATTCCGCATACAGTGACATCATGGTGCAGTTTGAGATCAGCATGGTGAGGGTTTTACACCACAGAAATAGGCTACAAATTAGGGAGTTGACTTCTTGTTTCATTGATTACCTAGACTGAAGAAAATGATGGAGAAGATGTTAATGATGCAAATTAAGTTTAAATATTGGTTTCACCCATACTCAGTACATTTTGAATAGAACTGAGGAACTGAGGAAATATCCTTCCAGTATTCAAAAATTTGTTTTTTCATTCAGCAAAGAAACTGCCCAGGTCATTAATGAACAAGATTGTGTTGACATACATTTTTGTTGTTTATTACCCCTTAAAATAAATGAAAATATTAACCAGCATTCATGTGAGAATCATAGTCATGTGTTAATTACCATCATGGGCTGGCTAAGGACACAAGAATTAGATAAAAATCACAGAAAGCATTCTAAGAGAAATCAATTTACTGTATAGGATTTATACTAGAGTTTTGCATATTTTATCATATTTATTTATTATATCTATGCATTCTATATATCAGTAGCATTTAAATTTGTGCTCATATTTAGGCATACTATTTTTCCTAGAAAGCTTATTGTCAAACTTAGCACACCACAGTCAATAAATAAATTAGAGCTTTCTACTTCTGCTTGGAATTTACTTTTGACTTCACAGAGACAGAGTCCCTCCTGTCTGAGATACAGGGAGACCTTTGGCACAAGTGAGGGAGCCTAAGATGGCTGTGGGGTCCCCCCCAAAGTGCACTACAGCTTTGACAAAAGGGAAGAGGAAATAAGTAGTCATTCTGCTCGTGCGCCCATCCCGCGCTGCATGTGAATCTGATCCACAAAATATAACAAACAAACAAGAAAAACGTGAAAAATTCCAGCTATTTACTCCTTTCCCCTGGCATTCTTTTTCCCTACTCCTCCGAATTCACGGAGCCAACATTCATCCTCTGATACGCTTCAGATGACACATTGGACAACTTTCTCTTATCCAACACCACCCGCCCACAACTTAATGGTTTGGGAACTGTTCATGCCACGAAGACAGGCCCATGGCATAGGAGCCAGGTCTTACTGTCAACCACCTGCATCCCCACACTGTCCTGGGAGGAAAATCTGGACCCTAATTGTGGCTGGTAAAAGGCAAGGACTCTTTAAACTCCATTTGATCAGTGGCTTTGCCAGGGACAGTGACTCTGGGGACAGTGGCAAAGAAGATAGGAATACAGTGTCAGCTACAAGATGCCTAAAATGCAAGCTTGTGACACATCTGGGATGCCCTTGAGGGAACCCAAGTGTCAAGGTGCAATATGGTGCTTAGAGGACAATTAAACTTAAAATGTCTTGTATTTCCAAGGCATGTTCAAGCATTCACAGACTTTACAACACGCGTTTACCCTTAGAGCAAATACTCCTCCCAACTCATGAGAAAAGACCTGGAGTCAGGGGACCTGGTTCTACTCTCATTTCTGTTACTAATGAACCCTTTGACCTTGGACAAGTTATTTCACTTCTCTTGGACTTGGTTTTCTATAAAATGATATACATTTTCCAGTAGTAAAGATTCCTTCTAACTCTGTCATTCTATGACTCATTCATTTTCTCTCTCCCCCTCTTTCTCCTTTTTAAACAGAATAAATGAAGCACACGTCTTTGGTCAAAAAGTCAAGGGCAGCGTCTAACATATTGGTCATATCAATTCTGTGAATCCCAGGCCTCAAATCCTTTATGGCAGTAGGCATAAATCATAAATAATTCCAGGCTACTACTCCCAGATTTTCTTAGAAGGATCAGAGCACTGACATTCTTTGGCAGATGAAAAAAGAAATTCAATTATCTGGAATGCAAAGAAAAAAGAATATTCTCTCTTGTTGAAAATCTTTCTGAAGGGCAGTAGCAGTTTTTCTGGCTTCAGTATGAACAGAGAACATAGCAGTATTTCTCCATTATCATGGCTCTGTTCTGCTTCAGGAGTAAGATTTTGAATATGAGTGAACATTATATATTCAATATCATTTGCTCTGCCTGTGGAAGACTGAGACTGGCCTGAACATATACTGTCTTAGTTATACATGCATAAGACATTCTCATTGATTATATATGTAGTTTCCCTGAATCACTTAAACTTTAAATCTTTCTCAAAAAAGTAGAAAGCCCAAAAAAAAAAAATTTCAAATATGTTTTTATGTCGTATTCCATTTTGTTGGGTTCTGGTTAAGTAAGACTCTGAGATGTTCAAAGAATTCAGAAACATAAAACATTTGTAATGTGTTCTGAGTATCAAAGACTACAGTTCTTATTTAACAGGACAGTTGCTCATAAACAAATGTTTTCAGCTGGTCCCACCCTGTGGCAGGAGACTTTTCTCTGTGATAAGCCACTTTCTCACTATTGGATCTTAAGGTGGACATGGCTTGACTCTATTTAGTTCAAAGTGTGCTTGATTCTGAGCACCATCGGGCTCTGATGGTGTGCTGTCAGCTCCCAGAGGTTTGCATTCTAGTGTTTGGTAGAAAACATATTCTCCACATAGAACATGACCATTTTTTCCCATTTCCAAGTCAATGATGGGGGGGGGGGACAAAAAGAAAACAAATAGAAGAGCACAAGTGTACAATTGGTCCCAAAGAGCTTGTGCTTGATCTTTAAGTAGAGGTGTTCAGATGTCAAGAAGAAGAAGAGTGTCTATTTTGTCCACTGCCACAGTGTTGGAGGTGAAGCTTTTCTTTCATGAGTCTCAGACTCTAGGCATCAAAGCCGTGGTGTGTAGTTCACCCACTGGTCTGCTTTGGCTCAAGAGTTTTTCCTGTTTGTTGTCAAGGATATCATAAAACCTTTTCTCTATCACAATACCACTTCAATCTTGCAAAGATTAGGGTCAAAAATTGAAATTTATTTTAAGTCTCAGCTACTTGTCATTAGTAATTCAGAGCTAACCAAGTTTCTTGATGACCCTGGGTGCTGGGGGCTGTTCACACATCCTCAGTGAAGAAACGGGGAGCTGACTCTTCATATCCATTCAACCCACCCACCAACCAACTCCCATCAGATCTCTCTCTCTCCACCTGTCAAAGGCAAGACATTTTTTTCTGATGTTGAACTCTTGATATAATTATGTTCTTCTTATTTCTGTGTGACTTATTCATTTCACCGATTGTTCAGATAGCTTATTACTTTTATTGCCTACCGGTTGGCATTTTTATCAAAAACAAGAGAAAGGACTTTCAAACTAGTTCATCTGGCTACACATTAGGCGGTTCTCGAGTGTTTTTGTGGAGAGAAGGTTCAAACTATCATGGCTCTAATAGACAAGATGAGGATTTTACATCATTCTCATGATTTAGTTGTTCAGGTCAGCCCTCATCCATGTTTCTAAAGGTATTTGAAAAGTTATTTCCATTTCGTTTTTATTTGTTTGTTTTTCATTTCAAGCCTGGTTCTGTTAAGTGACTGAGACCCAGCCCTGACAGGGTGGCATTGGGAATGTTGATGTGCCATGCCTTCTGGCTTCATTTTAGGTAAATAAATAAAGCCCTTTACCTTTCTGCTACTTGCACTGTGAAAAAGTTTAGGTAGAAATATATCTGTCTATCTATATCATGCGTGTTTTTTTCTGAAAAGGGTAATAGAATACAGAATGCCATACATGGGTTATTCCCGCTATGAATTAGTCTCTTTTATCTGACTCTGACCAAAACAGATGTTGGCAGCCTTTCTATTCCGGCTCTCTAAGTCAGACTAAGACTATCAGTTCCGCTTAGAGAAGCTGTAGGGAAATGATTTAACTCTTTCAATAGACCCTTACTAATTTTTTTCCTTAGTTCCTTTTTATTACAAACTACAAACAAACAAAATTAGAATGCATCTCTATGCAACAATAAGAGAAAAATAGCAATATTAAAAATACATCAAATACACCTCTAGAGGGAAATGAATTTTTATTCAAGGACTTTTAAGAATTCTGACATTGAAGAGCTGTCTTTGCTTCAGGAGGTAGCTAGATGTTTCCAACTTACAGTCAAAGATCATTTGCATAGAATACCAAAAGAGCTTTTTATTTTTTTTTTAAATTCAGAGAAAGACTATCTATCAGAGTGTGGCAGGATGCATCCTGCTAGCATTCTACTCTTTTCTATAGAAAATGACCATTTAAAAATGTCGTTCTATGATTGGCATCACAATACAGCTCCTGTACCAGGATTCTGCATCAAAATGTAAATTAAATGAATGTGAGAAATGGAGGGACTGGGAAGGAAAGAATCAAAGGGTGAGGAAGGAAAGGAAGATTATTAGAAAAAAAGTGTTTAGAAAACATACTATTCTAAGTTTATTATAGAAAGAAACAGTCTCTTCTTCAGGTAAAAATAATTTATTGTAAATTATTAAATAAAGATTTTAAACAATTTCTAAACCCAGTATATTGAAGAAGATAGGGAAAAAAATCACTTCTTAGACTCCAGGTAATTTCACATAATTTATCTCACTGAATTCTCACAATTTTCCTATAAAGTGGGCATTTCTATCATTTTTTCATTTAGTGCTTATGCCAGGACTCCTGTGCCTTAGACCCAGGTACTTAGTGATGTGGAATAATGCCTCTGCTGGCACCTTCTCTTCACTTCTAGTCTTTCCAGGAACATTGGAAACAGGAGGCAGGAAAGCCTTCAACTTTCTTGCCTAAACCCTTCCAATAAAGTCATCAAACAATAAGTATAATGAAAGATGTATTTAATCATCATTCATGATTAAATGGCATCTGGAAACTCAAATTCTCCGTGCTGCCAAGCGAAGACTAAGATTTATTGATATGCTTACCATGTGCCAGGAACTGTTCAGAACACTTCACCTGTATTACCTCATTTAATCCTTTCAGCAGTCTGCAAGGTAGGTGCTGGGAGTTTTTTTTTGTTTTGTTTTGTTTTGTTCAGTTTCAGAGATTGAAAATGTCTCCCCAACAATCTCATCCCACAGCCCAGAGGTAGCTCTTTTCCCACCATAACCTCTTTGCCTAGCAGGTGTGCTACACAACATGAGAAGCATCACAGAGAGGTATTTCATTTTTGCTTGTGATAGATGATGACCAAAGTGTTACTTGCAGATCAGAACTGGGCCTAAAATAGGATGTTATCCACCAGGGATTGTTGGGCCACAAAAGTTCACTACCTTGCCCAGTCACACAACAAGTGTATAAATTTTGATCCTACCCTGACACAAACCGGGCTCACTGTGTCTCTAATTATGACCTCCTGATACTGATATCCCATCCTTCCTGTCTGCCCCCCCCAACTTGGCACCTTCTAAGATTGTATTTGACACCCAGAATAAAATAACTCAAAGGCCATCTCACAATGAACTCCACCATTGGGGGCCATTTCACTGGCCAGTATGAAAATATGCACAAGTCCAATGCCCAGGTGTGCTTTCTCCAAATACATAGAAATAAGACTAAACCAGAAGCATAATACAGACTTCTGATTTTCCTCCCTCATTCTCCACGAGATGACTGGAAAACAGAAAATTAGGTATCTCTAGACGAGATGGATGGTGATGGAGAGAGTAGTGTCTTTGAGATTCTCAAGAAGGCTTAAGGGTAGAGAGAAGGCTGGATGGATCCATAAGGAGTTAGAGCCACATTGACCTCCTTGGGGTTAGTACCATGCTGGTAGCTCTGATAATTCTCTATAGTTGAGCAACTGTCACATATTCATTGCACTGATGATGTTAGATTTCATACTGGCCAGTGAAATGGCCCCCAAGGTGGAATTCATTGTGAGATGGCCTTTGAGTTATTTTATTCTGGGTGTCAAATACATCTTAGAAGGTGCCAAGTTGGAGGGCAGGCAGGAAGGATGGGATATCAGTATCAGGAGGTCATAATTAGAGACACCAGAGGCAAATATCTGCATCTGGATTGGGAGATAATTAGTCACAGTGAGCCCAGTTTGTGTCAGGGTAGGATCAAAATTTATACATTAAAATGTATAACTTTTATACATTTTAATGTATAAAATGACAGTTCTCCAGTGTCCTTCCACTGGGCTATTTTTCTGGGTTTGAATTTACTATAGGGTTTTTGGTCATGAGATCCCTTCTATGAGTCGAGAGTCCCACCCTTTCTTTTTTGAGCAGGCCATATGTCCAGTAGAGCTGTGTAGGACCTTCAGGCAACTTGGACAACATCTTTTCTCCCAGCACAAACTTCCATGCTAGGGAAGTCAAAAGCAAACCCTGCACCTTTGTCACTAGATTACTTGTTGCTTATTCCTGAAGCTGACAACAAAGAAAGCATCATACGTCCATAGAACAGGCGCTTCCTGGTGGCTGTGCTCAAACTCAATTTCCTCATCGACAGTGTTTTTGTTTGTTTTTCAGTACTCATCTCTCTTCTTTCCACTAGTGAGCACGCCTTCTGTGCTAGGAACTTGGGGGTTCAGCAGTGAGCATGGCAGGCGAGACCCCTGCTCACGTGGAGTTTGCATTCTAGAGAGTGAATAAAATAATTCTCAAAGCACACAAACTAGGAACAGAAGGAGTGGGGGCCCAAGGAGCGTGGGGGAGAGAGGTGGGAAGTACTTACCCAAGAGGTAATCAGGGCCCAGACCACGGTGAGCATGGAAGGACCTTCATAAGTTTGGATTTTCTTCCAAGTATTTTGAGAAGCCATTGGAGACTTCTGAGTTCCGAAATAACAGGATGTTCATATTTTAGGTAGAGCACTCAGGCTGTCTCTTGGTGTAGGGGAAAAAGAATAGGAGCAGCAATAGCAGAAGGAGGTCATTCAGCGGAGAAGAGTGTGGCTAGGGTCAGGCTGACAGCAAAGGGCCCATTCAGGACTGAAGATCTGAGATGGGAAGATCCCTTTGGGGGCTGGGATGCAGGTATGAAGTCTGTCATTCCACTTTGGCCTTGACGGTCTTGAGATGCCTCTGGGTTGACAAGTGGAGAGCCAGGCAGGAAGTCATACACATACATGTGTCTGAAGCTCAGGGCTGGAGATGTAAATCTGGATTCTTTGCATATTTGAAGCTCCCTCAGTTATAGAAATAAGAAGATATATGAAAGTCAATATGGACCTCAGAAAAGAATGACTTGGGAGATGGCATTTCTGGAAAGGAAGAGTGGTTATATTATTTTCATGACGGTTTATTACATGAACATACATTAATTATACACAAGTCACATATGATCTGCATTATATTAGCCCTGATTATTAAAAATCAGCAAGACCGTGGGGCACAGTGGTGCACAACTGTAATCTCAGCGGCTGTGGCAAGGCTGAGACAGGAGGATCCTAAGTTCAAAGCCAGCCTCAGCAAAAAGCAAGGCAATAAGCAACTCAGTGAGACCCTGTCTCTAAATAAAATACAAAAATAGGGCTGGGGATGTGGCTCAGTGGTTCAGTGGCCCTGAGTTTAATTGCTAGAACAGGGGGAAAAATCAGTAAGACCTAGTTACCTGGGCTCAAGGAACTCACAGCCTAGTGGGTGACACACATCTGAACAGACACCCAGGAGCAATTTCCTTGCACTGTCCTCAACAAAAACCTTCTGCTTGAAAATAGGTGGGATGGCCTGCTGGAGGACCAGCACTCCAGAATGTTAAGACTGTGTGCTGTGAGCCTTGGGCAGGGATGTGTGTACAGGTGGCTCCAGGAGCCTGCTGAAATGCTGCAGACTTTCTCCAGGGGCTCAGAGGAAGGCTTCACAGCAGAGGGGACCTTTGAGATGCATTTTGAATGACAAGCAAGAGTTTTCCAGGAGGGATGGGAGGGATGGGAAGCCAGTTTGTTTATTTATTTCAAGGTACCAGGGATTAAACTTGGGGCCTCTCTACCACTCAGCTAGATCCCCAGCCCTTTTTATTTATTTTGAGATAGAGTCTCACTACGTTGCTCAGGTTGGCCTTGAATTTGGGATCCTCCTGCTTCAACCTGGGGAAAGTCTGTTTTTTTTTTTTTTTGTTGTTGTTGTTTGTTTGTTTCTAATTTACTTTTTAAAAATTTGTTTTAAATAGTTACACATGACAGTACAATGATCTTGACACATCGTACATTAGAATCAGATGGGGTATAATTTCTCATTTTTCTGAGTGTACAGGTTGCAGAATCACATTGGTCATGCAGTCACGTATATACATACAGCAATACTAGTGTCTATTTTATTCTACTGTCCTTCCTTTCCCCCCTTCCTCTCTCCTACCCTCCCCTCCCATCACTTCTCTCTACCCAATCTAATGTGACACACTTCTTTTCTTTTTTCTTTTTCCTCACATCGTCATACATGTATTCTGTATAACGATGAGGGTCTCCTTCCATCTTCTGTGCAATTCCCCTTCTCCCTCCCTTTCCCTCCCACCTCTCTTCCCTATCTAGATGTAATCTTCTTCTCATGCTCTTCCTCCCTACCTCATTTTGAGTCACCCCTCTTATATCAGAGAAGACATTCTGCATTTGTTTTTTAGGATTGGCTAACTTCACCTAGCATAATCTGCTCTAATGCCATCAATTTCCCTGCAAATGCCATGATCTTGTTATTTTTTAGTGCTGAGTAATATTCCTTTTTTTCATCCATTCATCCATTGAAGGGCGTCTAGGTTGGTTCCACAGTTTAGCTATTGTGAATTGTGCTGCTATAAACATTGATGTTTATAGATGGCATTTCTGGAAAGGAAGAGTGTCTGTGACTCTGTAGTATGCTGTTTTTAGGTCTTTTGGGTATAGTGCAGTTATGTCCTGGAGAAAATCAGCCAAGAACGTTTTTCATCTTGAACACACTTCCCAGCTGGACATCGGGACCCAGGTGATCCTTGCTTGCTTATTTGGGCTCTTCTTTTGCTTTTGAAATCTGCCAATGACAGACTTCCAATATTTCATATGTGTATTAAAAGTCCTGCATCATTTTATTTACTTAACTTGTGGTGACATGATACACATTTTTATTTAATACTTTGACCGAGAACATTCTTCCCTATGCCCTCCCATGTTCTGTCACAGGCTAAATTAACAAAAACTGTACATAAGTGGATTATTGCAGCATAACTATAACCTATTTCCTTTTATGTAAAAAATTTCCAAAATGATAATTATAGGTAATTACTACAGGATAAACCTCAGTCTGTTCACCTTCTAACCTAAAGTGAGTTCAACTGGAAGTCATGCACTGCAGATGGCGGCTAGTTTTAAATAGACTGGGGCTCTTTTACACGTCTTCATCATTGAATTCGTAACGAAATGCTTTTTAATCACTTCTTGGCTCCGGTTTGTGTTAATGTCTCTTCCTGTTAAACCCCCAAATGCCAATTTCTTCCTCTTCATTTTAATGACTCTCTCAACACAGATGTTTAATTGAAGATTAGGAAAGAGATTATCCAAAATGGGGCTTTCTTACTATTGATAGTAAAATATTTGCAAACCATTGCCCTGTGTACATCCCTTAGGCTCCGAATTCCTCCAGATCTCCTGGGAATTGCACAGAGCAACAAAAATCACTGCAAAAGACAGAAAAGCACGAGTGTTAGTCTAATTAGTCTCTAGAAGTTTGTCAATGCACGATAGATTGGATAGTAGTGGTTTCTCAGAAGCAACAAAGAATTAATAGCTCTTCGCCTCCCCAGGTGAACAGAAGATGAAAGTTGCTTTTCTGTTGCCATCTTTAAGCATGCTTCCTGCCATGATTGTGTAAAAACATTTACTAAAGAGATAAGTGACTTTTCTTGAGCAAATCATGCAAACTCTCATTTCTCAAGCTGCCAAGTAAGGATAATATCCCCTGCAATAGGGTTCTAAGATGAAATCAAAGCACACACACGGAGAGTCTAGCACAGAGCCTGGCGCAGACTGAGTGGATGGCATATGTTGTTTTTCTAGTTCCTCTCAACTAGAAGCCTTAGTAGGGCTATTTTTTGCACGATGCTCCTGATTCCATTTCTAAGTCAAATAGTGAATTTCCACTACCAACTAAAGCCTTATAAGAAATCACTGTCACCAGGGACCCCTTGACCATTGAGCTTAGTTACCAAAGTCGGAACAAACGTTGGTGCTGTTGTTTCCAGTTGCGCTCTGGTGGTCGTCTAGTTATTTAAGTGCCCTGGCACAAAATGAAGGAAATGGGGTGAAAACAGACAAACTTCAGATTTATTCTCCATGGGATGATTCCCATTAACTTTTGGGAGTGTCACAAAGGTTGTAGGGCAAGATTTGGATGAATCTCCAAAATGGAAATGTTTTTATAGTCTCCTGGCTGTCCTGAAATGATCATTTTTGTCTGTGCTCTTCAGAGGAGTTAACCAAACAATTAACAATTAATTTTTCACCTTGTGGGTAGTTTAAAATAAAAATTAAAAAATGATTAATCAGAGATTAATCCCTTTATGCTAATAGAGGTTCTTAAAGCTGGACATTGGGTAGGAAGATCATATGTTGCCATTTGCCCAAGATAGACTCAGTGTATGCTTGTTATCTTCCTTGTAATAATCAATAGCACCCACCCTTCTGATCACTAAAGTTGTTCTAATATGTGCAATAAATAAGTTGTCCCAATTTTGAAGATGAATTGGACTGCCCTAGGGTGGGCTGCTGTGTTCCCTCACTAGCTATGTGGTCTCTCAGGAACGCCAGGCTTGCAGCAGAACTGTAAATGATGACATGGCACAGACCATTGCGATTCCTCCCCAACGGTCTCCTGTAAAAAGCTGAATCTGCAGATGTCGAGGATCCCAGGATTTAAACACCCACTGAGCCACATGTGTCTCCCACCACCCAGCTCCTCTCAGATGGGACCCTGCAGTCTTTCAGCAGGCCGACTCCCACTTCGTTCAGAAGGCTTCCCCAGTGTTTGAGGTTACTTCCTCTCACCAAGTTTTTATGGCACCAGAGCCCAGCCTGAGTAGTTCTTTTTTTCTGCCCACAAGCTGTGTTGTTGCTCAAGTGTGCTTCTTAAAACAATGAATATGTAACTCATTAAATGCCTTGAAGGAGAAGGAGATGTAAGGATCTAATTTTATTGACTGACATGCACTGCAGAGACACACAGATCCTGCTCACATCCTTTATAAGGTCTGGATCCAGAGACACACACCGCCCCCACTCCTACCTCCATATGTTTTATAACTGATAGACCTCGAGGATCTGTAGGCCACATGCATGCAAGTGAAACAACATTGACCTTGACAGGAGGTTTTTTTTTTGCCTAAGTTGCATTTAGGAAAAATTTCTCTACCCAGAGCTGGTGTGGTCACGCTGTTAATGTCAAATGAGCTGATTGTGAATAACTCAATGGAGCATCCACCTCACCCCTAGAAGACTATGTTCACGCCAACCCAGGAAACACTGTCTTAAACAACCACACACAAAGATAAGCCAAAACAACACAGAAAAATAAAATCCTCAGTCCCCTAGAGTCACAAGATTTATCCTATTTAACATCTCACCTCAATTTCATGCACTTTAAATGAATCACTGATTTATCTATTTCCTACTGGGGATTGAACCCAGGAGTGCCCTTTTTATTTTGAGACAGACTCCCATTAAGTTGCTGAAGTTAGCCTCAAACTTGTAATCCTGCTGCCTCAGCCTCCCAAGCAGCTGGGATTACAGGCATGCACCCCCACCCTGGCCCAAACATTTTATTCTTAATGGAAATAGTACAGTAAGTGCTTATAATTAACGTAAAACTGACAAAACAGCTTTTTACATAGAGTGACAAATTTAATTCCTGCTAAAACTTGATGAGGTAATCACTAGTTATTGTACAGGCAAAGAAACTGAGGCTCAGAGAACCACAGGGCTACCGTGTGGCTCCAGCAGCCTTGTGCCCAAACTTCTTGGTGGCCCTGCCTCTCCATACTGCAATGTACTAGGAAGGAATTCATTGCACTGCAGCTCACAAGAAACATCTCCAGTTAAGGTCAAGATTGCTTCACTTGCAGGTGTATGGCTGAGAAATCCTTGATGTCTGCCTGTCAATAACTATTCCAATCCCTTAGGAATACAGCCCCATCTCTGTGATCAGCCTTCTCTTTTTATGGCACAATATGTCTAAATTCCTTTACCTCTTTTGTTGTGAGAACTGTTGTCCCAAATATATAATCATTTGGGTTGTTC